CCTTCAGCTTACTCACCGATGGAACTTGATCCCATGAGCTGCCTGCTGTTCTTCGTGCTTGGTTAGCCTTTGGCCTCTCTGCTGAAATGGTGAGTTCTGCTCTGCAGTGGTGAGCTTGGGAGTGACGCTGGCCTTCTACATATCACACCGAGACATTAGGATCCATTTTGCTTTTTAGCAGACTGCCAAAAGGTGGAAGTAAGGTAATGATCTGCAATTGCTGCAGACAAGGACAGTGTTTCAGCTAGTAACATAAAAGGGATGTGTAAGGGAAAGAAAGTTTCATGTATCATTCACCTGCTGCATTAGTCATGCTGCTTGAGAGTAAACTGGATCAGGAGTAAAAAGATAAAGCTGAAGATAAAGTACTCTCTGCATATGAGGAGGTAGGTCAACACTGCCCCCACAGGAAAACCTAGCATGTAGGTAAGCAAGCTGGCCATGCGTGCAGGATGGACCCACACCAGCACCTGAGGCAGGCAGAACTCCTCCCTGTACCTCCCCACCACCCTGCTGTTTCCCTGTAGTCTCTGTAGGTGATGGAGTAACGTGTTAGCAAAACTGGCTGGTAGGGTTGTAAGTTACTGACCTGGGGCTGAGCAAGGACTGACCGCTTAAGGAAATAGGGACTGAAAACCAAGGAATAAGAGATTTACTTGCTTGTCTAACAGGTATAAAACACCTTCACTCTGGTTTACTTTGAGCAGTTGACCAAGATGCTACAGAGCTGAGTAACAATACATATACATAGTTCTGAAATAACACAGCCAGCTGTTCCTGCCAGCTGTTTCTTATCCACAGAACAATTCCATGCCTGCCACTTGAGTTCATGCACCTTTGAGCATTATAATGTCACTATAATTCCAAAAAGACATCACATTCTCACAGAAACACAAGCTGGCCCATACCCCTGGTATTCATTCCCATGCGCAGATATCTACCCAACAGGTCACACAAGGCAATTGTTGCTGTAGGAACTTTAATAGCAGCACCTGAGGCCTAGGTGTACATAGAAAAAACAGAATGGTAATAAAACCAGCAGAGGAAGTAGACTATAGCCTGGCTCACTGACACAGTCCTGCCACACCATCAGCTCTTTGGAGACAGAAGAAAAGGAGTGAAGAGAGTTGCACTCTATACATTGAAAGTGGGAGGGTTTTCTGTGACAGATGAAAATTTCTCACAAACAATCCACAGTCTAATATACTTTCAGTTTGACCCACCATTAAAAATAAACCTAGACAGTGTCATTCTCCAATTAAGCAGGTTTTATTGAGCTCTTAATATTGTGAACATTTGTGCAATGAATAGAGCACAGAGTATTGGTTTCTCCCACCTCTTCAAAGCATAAAAAGACTTCCCTTTGTCATTGTAGTATGTTGATACTACACAGTCAGAAAGGCTGTTGGATGCCACTGCCAATGCTAGGCAATTCCTAACAGTAAGCACGCTGTGTGAAGCTCACAACAGCAAGCAGAGGTTTTCAAAAAACATTTAGCAATGAGCTTGGTCTGCAAATGAGACTGGTCCAGCTGCTTAGAGGAAACGCAGCTATATGGAGTTCTGGAGTCCACCACAGCTTGTGGAAGGAGTGGGAAATAATCTTGGTCACTACAACTTCAAAATGCTCCTCATTTCCTGATAATTCCTTGCAAAATATTACATAAATTTTACTAATTGTCTTCATGTGAGAAAATGAAAGTATTTTTGCAGAGCCAAGAGTAAACCAAAAGGACTGATATTCTTTTATGTTGACATACAAATAGAGCATAAAATGTTGACATACATATCCATGTGCAAAATAGTTTTCAGGCCTATGGTCAGCATTTGCTTAATCGGCACAGGTAAGACACAAGATGCAGGCACTAAATTCAGAAAAAAAGTGTATTTCCATTCAAGCTTTGGACTTAAGCTTTGGATTAAAGACCAAATAAACAAACTACAAAGTCTTTCTTGGTCCTCACAGTATTTGAAACAGAGAGATAAGGTAAACACGAATACAGCCCTACCACTACTAACTAGGACCAGGCTAGTAAGAACATTCACACGCATGTGGAAAAGCATCCTGCTCATCAGCTTTTCCACCAGAGGACCTTCAGCTTTGCAGTGCTCTGTGTCCCCTTCCCCTTGTCACCATTAAGCGAAAGAGTTCTGGAAAATTTTTCAGTCATTCATCAATTCAATTTCCCCAATTACTCTCATCAAATAGGGTTGCTACTTTGAACAGAAGTGGCTGGTGACCACCATTTCCTCTTTGTGCCAGTTTAGAACAGGAAAACAGCTCCCGTCCTTAAACTTCACATGCACAGGAGATACACAGGGTTTATTGTCTTGCAGTAATTTAAGGCTTACTTGGATTGCTTTATTCTCATATTCCTTCTTCCTTACCAGCTCTAACCAACCCTTCTTTTTTTTTTTTAATAAGCAGTACCACCTGTTTCTCCCATGACATGGAAGAGATTAATTTACAAATACAGCAAACTAAGATCTTTATACTTTTCTCTGCATTGCAGTTAAAGCTATCCATTACTATTCTGCTGCCCCAACTCTTAACACAGTGACTTTATTTCTTTTATGTACTTCTATTCTGAATGGCAACTTTGGGAATCTCCTTCTATCCTCCTCCTATTTCTTCCAGGATTCAGTTATCCTGTGACATGGAGCTTTTACAAGCATAAAGGCAAAGGAAAAAAAAATCCCAAATACTTAAGCACCTTCCCCCAAAGGAAAGGTCAGATGGAAAACGGGGGAAAAAATCAGATAAAGGCAAGTGAAGTAAATTTTCCAAGAGCACCAATTATACCAAAATTTAGCAGCAGTGACAGCTACAAGGGCAGCAAACATTTCAGTTACTGGCATCTAGTGAAGCACACAGGTTCTCTTGCAAGTGTGGGAATCAAAGAATGCAGTGAAAATGCAAGTAATCAAAGAAATCAGTCCTCCTCAGCCTTCCCTGTAAGTTAGAATAGATATGAAAATATGGCTGAAAACAGTATTTGAAATCACTGGGAAAGGAGTTTACAAGCTTGGCTGAAATACTAAGGTCTTTAGGAATGTAACTGACTATTCACAGACCTGTCCACAAAAGCAAAAAGCATGTTAAAAACTGTAAGAGCAAGGATCGTGTTCTCAATTGTCTGAAATTATTTACAACTCCTTGGGGAAGTAGCTCAAAAATACAGTTTGTAAGATGATTTACTAGGCTCTGCGACAGATGTAAGACAAAGCTGTCCAGCTTGGAAAAGCTGATTCAGATTCAAAAGCAGTGTCCCTAACACATACACACATCTGCTATATTAGTTTAGCTTTCCACTAGTCAGTCAGGGCATCCAAATTGGGGTTGCTACTGCAGTGAGGGGAACTATGAGGAATGAATCACCACAAAGCCTCAGGCTGAAAAAAAAAAAAAAAAAAAATCAACCATCCTTCAGAACGAATAATAAGTCGCACATTTTTATACTTCACAGTAGTTTATTCCAAAGCCTTGAGGAAAGTTGTCTTTGATCTTAAAGAAACGTATGATTTTCAGGATTAAACTATAGTTTAAGGCAAGTATCTCCTGGTGTAATTCACCCCACTCTACAAGAAGCGTTAAAGATGAATCATTCTTGGAGGACACTTTCTCTCTCCACTGGGTCAAAGCGACAAGGTTAGCTTCGATGTCTAGCTTTTACATAGATAATTTGAGGAAATTAATCTAGGTACTAAAAAAACCTCAGACAGATGCATCTAATCTGTTATCTATTCTTCCTCAGTTTCAGCAGTTGCCTGGAATGTTTAGCTATGAGGGATAAAGTATTAACTGGCAGGTTTGGAATTAAAATCATAAGGGCCATGTGCTTCCATCTAAGTCAGAGAGATAAAGTGCCCTTGGTGACTCTGCCGCTCCTTTCTCATCCAGTCCAGCTGCAGCTTAGCAGTCTCCTATTCCCAACCTTTCTATTTAGTCTACAGTTTCCATTACTCACATTACCTGAGAAAGCCAGATAGGCCATGGGTCACATTACTTCAGCAACAGAAAGCCCTAATCTGAAGGGATAGCCAATGTCTAAGGGAATAAACTCACTAAGGGGTGGAATAAGCTTTCCAGCCATCAGCATAGCATTAAAGAGTTAACAGAAATCAGCCTGAGGCTTTTCAAACATTTCAAAGTTCTTAGCGTTCACAAATTTAAGATGACAAAGCAGCAGCTAGAAAACACAGACCAGCCTGTTACACTGCTGGCAGGCAAACAGTACCATGGGTGCTATATCTGTGCTTCTGAGCTCTTGCCTCCCTTCTGTTTTCCTCTCTCCTCCAGCCCACCACTACACAAAGCCCGCACTTGACGTTCTGTGCTCAGCACTGACGTGGGACAGGGTGGCTTCCACGGTCTCCTTCCTCTGAGCACACTTGCAAAATGTAAAGCAAATTCCACGGCCACAAGCACACCAGTAAGGGAGAAAGAAACTAATACAGAGGGGTACAGGGTGGTAACTGTGATTTTTAAATAAACATTTTTGGTCTTCTCTTAGCTGACTCACAGCTTCTACCTTTTTGAGCCCCCCCAGCTTTTTTTTTTAAACCTTACTATCCTATCAACAATACTCCCAACCTAAATAATTTTTTTTTTTTCTTTTAAACTTCAGTGGAAAGAGAGACAAGCTAAGAGGAATGTCAGTTCTGCTGACCAAAAGCTTTGTCTCTGGAAAAAAAGCCAATCAGAAGAGGATTATAGCATTAAGATGAAGTATGGCTACTTTTCTCCTTCGACCATATGGTGATTCCTTCCATCATTACCACCAACTAACAGGAGCCAGTAGCCTCAGCACAGTAGTGTGTGGATTGGGTTGCTAGTGCCAACAAACTCTGCCATGATTATGTATGTCAAATATAACTGAAAATCCAGATACTTCTGGAAGTAGTAAAAATTTGTTGTTACACACACCTATTGCACAGTATTCTTGTGCTTATGATAGACGAAGTCCACACCACGCTGGCCAGTTACTTCCAAGCTTGGCCATAGTGAACTCAAATGAATAGATTTTTTTTTTTGGAATAAGAAGCTACAGTTCAGGAACACCTGAACAGGACTTTAAAAAGACTTTACAGCTCTTGCTGGATTAGCTTTGACTTTTGTAAAGCAGGCATTAAGCAAGAGAACCTTTAAGTTAAAAGCAGGGAAGAAGTGGAAGGTCCTACATGTAACACAGCATGATCAAGTAAACACTAACCTTCAAGCAAGGAGCTTGATCTGATTTAATTTTTTTCACTTGTGCTTACTTATCAAGGTACAATTGAAAAAAAAAAAAAAAGGACTGTCTTTGCAATGAAAGCTAGCGTTCTGTTTAAAATTACATCACTATTTTACATTTATCCCTTCAGGCTTCCAGTTAAGAAGAGCAGCTGATTGAAACAAACCTCAATTCCAGCCCTCAGGATTTTCTCCTACTTTATTTTGCATTGATGGCATGGAAAAAAAAAGGATATACTCCCTTCTTCCCCAACCCTAAGCCCTGATACTGTTTTTGTCTTCACACAGGTATTGTCTAACCTAATACTCTTGCACAGATAAAACTTTTCAGAGCTCTCTTGGGCCTCTGCTTCAGTAACTCTCTGCTTCACTACCTGTAATGAATCTGAAATAATGTTTTGGAAAGCCCAACTTTAGACATAACAGATAAGGAACACATCAGTTAATTTAAGTAATATTCTTACATACATACGTGTGTGTGTGTGTGTGTGTGTGTGTGTGTGTGTGTGTATTTATATATATATAAAGGTAAAAAAATAAGTTTGTCTTAACAAGAAACATTGTGGAACCTGATTAAGAAACGAACTCCCAAAAGCTGTGCAATGATGTAAAATGTGCTGGCTATATAGCTGACACCAGGAGAGAAAAGCTTATTTTCAGAATTAAAACAAAACAAACCCTCCCCCCCCCACCCTAGCAGCAGACTATTCTACCTAAGAAAAAAAATGATTCTTTGTTAGAGATCGCAAAATGCTGTTGAAGAGGCTCCAGGTTGCTACTTGACTTTAGTTGTATTTTCTTTCCCGTTCTCGTGCAGTCACAAAGTTAAGTAGGTCGATAGCTGTAACAATGCCAAACACCATTTGCCGCTTACTGGAGGAACCATCAGTGTGATCTGCACAAAAAGAGAAGAGAGGGTTCTGTCTTTAGGAGGAAGAGAGATACACCACTTCATTTTAACAGCACTGTTTGCAAAACCAGAAGCACAAGCCTTCCCAGCTCCGAATGCTGGGGCACGTTGGCAGAGTTAGATATCATTGATGAGTCTTGTATATTCTGGTGGAACTTAAATGTCATCTTGATTGATAGTCACACAGGAAATGGCAAGGACTATCATTTCAGAAAGGCTACTCTAAAGAAGAACAGGGAGAGAAAAGGGATATAGAAACTGAAGTACTATGGGAGGAAGGGTATGGGTCCATCAGATTTATTTTTCTTTAATAGAAACAAGAATATAAGTAAATCACTGGTTCTCAGTGAGGCATCAGGTGTACTGCTGACATCAGATGTACACTGTGAGGCCTTCCCTGTTCTGTGCCATTGACAAGTACACATGAATTCAACCTCTCTACACAAAGTCCTTCCTTTATACAGTTCCATGTTAGCACTAGAACTTGTTTAATGTGGTAAAAGAGTGAAACAGTGCTTCACACGACACATCTGCACAAAATTTTTATTTAGAGTAGCAAGGATTTAGCAGCTGCAGCAGGACCTCCATGCAGGCAGAGAACTGACTTCAGACTAGCAGGTGAATTCTCCCTGACAGGGCACAATGCACCAGCAGAAAGGACAAAAACCAAATTACTGCGATACAGTGTTAGGGATCAAATTCAGTATTACTGACTATGAGTAGTACAGCAACATGCACTTTTTCCTCTAGTGAAAACCTAGAGTGGCTGTAGCTAATAACGCTACCACAATCCTATAAACTTTTAAAAGTATATTCTTGTTTAACTAGAGCATACACTGCTTCAGTGGTGGCCATAATGCTTTTTAGCTGGTGGGAAAGGTCAACAAAAAACCATATATTACACCTGGGTATGTACACATGCACCATGCAACACAGGTTTAAGACTTAGAATAATATTGTTCAGAGCAAGAAAGTAATTACTAACTAGCAAGGTAATACTAGCAAGATGAGAATATTTACTTGCTTTACATTGGAAAACCAATACAATAGTATCACCTTTGGAGGACCCTGTAACTTCCTCCTGCACATCCCTTTTTATGCTCAGCCTAAGCTGCCACACGCCTGCCTCTGCCAGCATGAGAATAGCTAGTGAAATCTCCACTGAAGATGATTGCAAAGATGAATGTAGAAGACGACTGTAGTTCATTACAGGGTTAGTAAAAGTGTAAATATATCTATCTCGGTCAGTGGAAGTTTGTTACATGGTGTGACAAGTCTCTCCTATATGGTACAATCAGCCTGGGTTGCCATTCTTCCATGTCAATTTTCACAATGGCAATGACCATTTTTGTCTGTTTTCCAGCAAAGAGCTAGAAAGTCTCAGGGTATTAGTATTATCCTGATGATGAATAATTCTTGTTGTTTACGAGACAGTTATCTTAAACCTGCACTGCACAATGCTGTCACTGCATGCCACTATTCAGACAGTAAGACAGGAAAAAAATCTCAGTGAGGTTTATAAAAGTTTTGGTAGGGATAGGCCTCATTGTCCTCAAGGCAAGAGCTGCTCCTGAACCTTTCAGAATGATGTCCAAGATTGCTAGAGACTCTACTGAAAGCCCTGGCAAAACGTTCCACAGGTAAATAACTTTCCCTGTTATTTACAAAAAGGTTACTACTGATCCAAACACGTTCAGCTTCCAGCCACTGGCTCTTGTTATGCATCTGAATGGCACCTGCTTGATCAACGAACTGTTATTCTAACTTCTGTTCTTACAGGGAGGCATAAAGTCAGTCCTTCACTTCCTGTTACAAGGGTTGCTTCAACTTTTCAAGCCCTTGGTTATAAAGCATATTTTCTAATGCATCTTAGTTGTTGCTGTATCTCCGCTTGAAACCTCTGCAACTTGAAAATACTCTGTTTGAACCAGGAGCCACTAGGATAGGACATATGACATTACCATCCTCCTATGCCACTGCCAGATACAGAGTTACTATAAAAACTTAATACAGCATCCTCCCATTTACATCCAATAACCTTATTAACTATCTGAGCATTGCTGAATGAGGTTTATGGCAATTTTCATTGTGACCATAAGGTCCTTAACCTGGGATCCAAGTGCTCTGACCCTTTATCTGTGGTCTAACTTCCTTGTTCCTCCAGTCTGGCTGTATCAAGACATTTGATCTAGTTATTCCCAGTTTGTTCAGCAATCTAGATTGTCCTGAACTTTTCATTATTTACTGCTTCCTCAGTCTTTGCTACACTACAGATAGTGGGATTCAATCAAGGTTTTCTTCTAGATCACCGATTAAATAAAAATGAATTGTTAGATGGCACGGGGTCAAGAGCAGATGCTTATGGAGTCCATCAGGAACAAACCCAAATTTTGAGGAAGATTCTTCATTTACCATTACAATTTTGAGATATCTGTCAGCTAAATTTTTCTGTCAGGTCTGACAGCTCTCTTTAGTCTAGTTTCTCAGTGTTTCTAATTTCTCAAGATAGCCTGCTATGAGGAAGAAATTAAAGGAAAAATGCCATTCTCTGCATATACCTAGCTTTGAGCAACTTAGTCATTTCCAGTTCATAGAGGAAGCAATGTAAAGAGTTTTGAGAGGGATGATAAAGACTACATTTTGCAAGGAGTAGTACTCACATTGAATCTGTTCATGGACCACTAGAGCAAAGTGATCTGTTTCCAGGATATGAGAAAGTTTCCCCAAGTTGTCTTTCAGGTTAATCTAAAAACAGAGAGAGTTACAAAACTTAAAAGAAACAGTCCTTTATATATTTGGTGGTAGATAACCCCATATATTCAATGCAGTATTAAAAATAATACACCAGCATTTATCTACTGCTCACATCCAAAGTGTTGTGAAACACTAACAAATCCAAGTTCACTTGAAAGATCAGAGTTTATTGTTTCTAATTTTTAAAGAACTGAACAAAAAGATGAGGTAGTACATGAAATTTTCATTATAACTCTGAAAACATGCTGGAGAAACATTAACAAAATACTTTTGAGGAAATGGGGTGAAAAGGAGTGTTACATGTGTCTAACAAAAGAAGTTACCATGGCTCTCCAGATTATACTTACTGATTTTGCTCTATCAAGACTGTGAAAAAGTGAACAAATCAAGCTGCAAATCATTGTGGAAGTGAATACAATTGAAAAAGGTAGCGGGGGGACAGAGAAAAGCCCAAACAAGCCAAAACACAAAACCAAGGGTGAAGAGTAACACTATTGAGGTGCAAGTCGAGGAACTCGGAATCAGGAATTCTTTTTCATTGAAGCAGCTTAATATTAGAGTTGAACAAGAAAGCACCTTGCGCTCGATCTGTAGATGGAATACAGGTCCTTCTGAAACACTTAGCTAATCACCTGCTGAAAGCATTTGAAAGAATGCATAAAACTGCATTCTTCTTCCTACAAGCTTTAACTGATTTTAAAAGCATCAACAAGTCTATTATCCAGGTGACTCTTCCCAACTAACAGTAGCACCCACTGTCTGACATACTATCATTAAAAGGATTTATAAGGGATAAAGGAATTTACAGCAAAGAATTTTGCACTGCAGATTAAAAAAAACTTTTACCCTGCAGTGAGCTCAGCTTGTGACTGGGGAACAAACTTCACAGCTTGAACAGCGTAGCTGAGCTGGAAAACACAGCTCCGGTTCCCAAACTCTGAACTAGAGAAGATCAAGAGGAGGATTCCCAGTAACCTGTGTTTAAAGGACAAGCAGTCTGTAGCGCAGACTGATGTGTCAGTCCATAGGCTTATGGGTCAGGCAAGGGGTGGCATGATTTTGGCCAGTGCCCTAAACAATTTAGCCCTCTGCTAAACAATGCAAGGCTTGATGTCCGCAACCTCCACAACAGAGAAGGGCCTCCTTTTGGAGGAGGATTAAAATAAGCTTGACCAAAGTGGGAAAAAAGCAAAAATCCACAAAGCTTCTGAGGTTATGTGCATTTAACCATGTTTCTCCATTAAATCATCATTTCAAATGGAAAATAACCAGTGAATGGTGCTTTTAATTGGCATGTTAGCAACACCACCACTGTCTCATGTCATTCTCCCTCTACCTCTGCCAAGAAACATTAGTGCTGAAGAGAAAAGGGATGATGTTTCAGTCGTTCTTTAATGAAGAAGCATGCGGAAATTCAAGATGTCTATGGAAAAAAACCCGACAGCCTCAGAAGCGCAGAGAATTGGCTATTACAGCTATCACCACTCTAGCTACCAAAGTGATTGCACCACGCCAGCCCCAGAAACTCTTAAGGTGTCAAGTGAGGGAGAACAGGAGCTAAACAGCTTTGTTACGCACCATATTTTCACCTGAGGCTTGATTATTTGTCTGCGAAGGAAAAAATATATTTACATTTCATCTACAAAGAATTAGCATTCCCTCTCAACCTCAAAGACCTGGTAGCTGGTAGAATAAAGAGAAATATTACACATACTTCCTGAATACAGGACCTCATTTATTTTGACAGTGTTGAAACTAAAAGCCTAGTGAAAGCTAGATCAAGCATTCCATGCTAAAAGGAGCCTTTTCCTGTAAATGAAGCAAAGCAACAGCAAATAATACTTATATTTTCAAAGAGCAGCCACACAGCTGGGAAGTTTAGTGATGTCCTGGCACACCATACTAGATGGACATGTGAATTAGCTAATTAGTTGTCACATACCTTGACAACATCAGCTTTCACCAGCCATCCCCCTGTTTCAGCAAGGTATCTGATACAAAAGGCAAACACTTGCCTGTTTTAGCTGATATAGGAATTATTTAACAAGAGCTGTTTCAATATCTCCCTCTTTCTTCATCTGAATACTCACATTGCCTACTTTTGCACTGGGGCTTTGGAGAGAGAAGAGAAGACAAGAATACCAGAAGAAAGCCTGCTGAAGGAATGGAACGGCCCCACACCGAGCCAGTGCATAAACCTGGGAGCTATTCAGTGATATGGGATAGAGCTCAGTGCGAGTCCTGTGTCTGTGCTCAGTAACAGTCGTTCTATATGATCCCACGTAAACCTTACCCAACCTGACACAATTTTAATGCTAGAATATCACAGTAGTACTTTAAACTAGAAAACTGGGAGCTGTAGAATATGTTTACCTGTTTGAATTGCTTGTAGATTACTTTGCTGACTTCATCTGAAGGCTGAACTTTTCCAGCAAGCAGGGAAGAAAGCATGTTACCCAGAGTAACCATGCCCAAAATCACCCTGGGGAAGAGGGATAAGAAGAGATATGGTTGAACAGTGTAAGCTCTTCCTAGAGATAAAAACACCCACTCTCAGTGAGCTTGCACAAGTTGATTCAACCGTTTCATAGCACAAAGCAACATTACTGGGGATATACTTGGATTCTGTACCCCTTACAGGAGATTCCTAGAGTCCCGTTCTCAGAAGCACTGAGGAAACAAACAGATGTCAGCACGTGTTGCAGGTGCCTAGCCCTTCTGCAAATCAGGCTCTTTGTACCTCTAGCTCTCACAATCAGAGAGAGCTTCTTGCAGTCAGAGAGTTTCTGAAAAGGACACCTCACAGTTTTATGCCCTCATCCATCCTTTTGAAAGGCCTAACAGGGCCAGAGACGTGCTCTTCTCAATTTTGCTCTTGTTCCCCTTTTCCTTACAAGCATGCTGCAGAGGCTTATTAATCCCTTGTGTTGGCACTGTGACTACAGAGTAACTGAGCAAACTGTTCATTCTTCAGCCTGTCCTACAAGAAACGTACAGGGTACCAAGGCATGCCAGTCTGCTGGGAGACTCCAGTAGCAGTCACTGCCTCATTGCGCTATAGCAAAACATTCTGAAGAAACTGGGTGAAAGCTGTGGTGGAGATGAATAGGTTTGGGGTTGTTTGTTTTAAAAGTGAATTTTTGCTCTGGTAAGTTAAACAGCTACTATAAAAAAAATGAAAAAAACCCTGAAGAGATCATAATAATCACTAGAGGCTCATTAGATGAAGGGCAGAACAGTCCTAGCATGACAACATATTAAGTCCAGCGCTGGTACATTTAAGGTAACATTTTTGAACCGTGCTACTCTAACTGAAGAAAGCCAGATGACAGAAGGAATATTGCACTTCTATTAAAGGTTTAAAGACATCCCTTAGGACCTGGTGAGGGAAGTGAAATATGTGTGTGACAGTGATATATATATATATATATATGTGTGTGTGTGTGTGTATATATATATGTATATGTGTGTGTGTGCGCGTGTATATGTATGTATGTGTATGTGTGTGTATATATATGTATGTATGTATATATGTGTGTGTATATATATATATGTGTGTGTATATGTACACATAAATATAATATATGTATATGGACATACCCAGATTCATCAACAACTGGTACCTGGTCGAATCCCTTCTCTCGGAGGATTTCAACTGTCTTTGCACAGGTAACAGTTGGAAGCACAGTCAGGGGAGCAGAGAGGCTTAATTCCTGAACACTGATGTTCCACCACCTCGGAATAAAACCAAACATAAAAATAAGCAAGTCTTATGGGGAGAACAGAACTGGTAGCTCATGTGCCATGGCCTTCAACTCTAGAGGAATGACAAGAGGGTGCAAGGAAGAGTCAGGAATCAGCCACAGTTATTAACCTTTAACGCTTTCAAGTTTTCTCTCCCCAACGTCAGAGTCACTCAGGTGTGAAAAGACTTTATGACTGAAACTCGCTTCTCATTTAATCTATTTTCTAGGACGGAACATGGTTAGTGGAAAGTATTAGTCTCCCTAGTTTCATTACTTGCATCCTAAACGAAAAATTCTGGGCCGCTGCTCAAAGAGCTAGCCATGTTTACAATCACTATAGGCAACAGTTTTAGGGAAGATCCTCCTCCAGCCATGTACAGCTGTAGTGCTTTGCACCAGAGAACTCTGGTCTTGGTAGAGTTCTCTGGATGCTACTTTTCCCTTTTAGATATAACCCTTTTCATTCAAAATCAGTAAGTACCAAGTCCTTTCTGCTACTGCCCAACTCAAAAGAAAAGGAATTTTTAACTCATTTAAGTAGATTTGATTACATCTGCAATTAAATACTGACACAGCAACACAAAAGATTAGCTAAAAAACCAAGGAAATGGTACAAACTGCAATGACCTTTAAATTAGCAACTGCCACAATGACAATGAAATAGACAAAAACACAAATGGATCTGACGTGCTTACCAAGGTTTTTTGACGAGGTCTTCTTCTTTCAGGAACCCTTTTTGAATCATCCATTTGTCACTCAAGAACTTGGACCTGGAAAGCATCAGGAAGTAAAGAGCTCATTAGCAGACTAACATTTAAAAATAGCAAACACAATAGCACACAAGACAACTGCACAGCCCACTACAACTAACAACTAAAGCGTAACTGAAGAATATACTGCCATTCACCACCCAAACTTACCAGCCAGGGACACAGAGACGAAATCCTCACAGGAAGAAAAAGGAATCCCGTAGGATACAAAGCTTCAACTACATCACTCCCTTGCAATACCATATAAAGACAGCCTGGAATGGAGAAGTGCCAACCTGTACTCAGCCAAGGCCTTTCTGCAGCTTCTAAAGTCATCCAGCATTGTGCTGGATGCAACAACAGTCATGAAGCACAGCTAAAGACATCATTTTTAGGTACACGTTCATAATGGTGGGAGAGAAATTTCCTCACAGCACAGCTCAAAGCTCTCACCCGATCACCTGCAAACGCACACCAACACTGGCTGCTGTACAGCGTTGCTGTGACCTGCTGTCAGCGCATGCAAAGAGAGCGGACAACAGCCTTAAAAGAGACCCTAACAAAAATGGGATGGACTGATGGTCCCCAGTAAAGGAAAAGCTTGAAAGCAAATCTTTTCCAGAGGGATATTAACTAACCAGTTAACTAACCAGTGACGGTTAGATACTAAAGTCACACACAAGGAGGAGTTCTGCTTTCAAAGGGCTGAGCTCTTGTCTACACCACGTCAGACCCTTTCTAGGTACTTCAGAAGCTGTACCCAAAACACATTCCTTGCTTTGGTAACTGGATGCTTCGAGATACATATTCAGCTTGCCACTGATGTAAGGAGGTCTGAGAGAGTGACTCCTCCACCTCCTCCTGGAGGAAACAAGTAGGTTCTTACATGTAGTTCCTGATAGAGTCAGGGAACATAACAACACAGCGCTGACCTTCCTTCAGTTCTTTGGCTGCCTTCACAGCTACAGACATGGCACTGCCTGAGCTGCCACCTGCCAAAATGCAGATCAGAGACAAAATTGTCAAATACCATAAGGGAAAAGACAAAGAGAAAGGGATAGAGAAAAAGAGAAGAGGGTAGGCAAGTTCAGAGAATCCCAAAGGATTAGCGTCTGCTCTTACCACACAACAGTCCTTCCTCTCGGATTAACATGCGTGCAAGAGTAAATGACTCCTCATCGTTGCTCTTGTACCACCGGTCCACCATCTGTGCAGGAGGCAAGCAGAGAGGAACAAATAGCTCTTGAGATGAGGAGGGCAGGGGCAACTATGTAACTACCTCAGTGTTGCTTCAACCAATGGTCTTTGAGCTAACAGCTGCCCTATTGATGCATGTGCTTGGCTTTCTATCCTTCCAATGCTGGACAGTTTTGTTTGCCAAGATAAGATGACCACATTAACAAAACAGTCTCAATATTGGCATCTTGCTGTGAGAAGAGCCACAGGGAACATCGATCAGTCTCCTTCCCTCTAAAGGGAAATACTACATTCTAGGAAAATGCAATCTGCTCAGTGTTTCTACCCAGCATTCTAAAACAGAGAAAGTATCCAGTACATTTTTTTCCTTGATGGGAAAGAACAGAAATAGTTTTGTCTGCTAGCCCTCCCCTTCCAGCTCAAAGAAATATTTTCCCAAGTTTCCTCTCCATCCCAGTGGAAGGTAAGGGGCAGTTAAACTGAGAAGCATGACTTACAGATCTATCCAGCACTGTGGGGACGAAATCATACCCAATTCCTTCCACTTCATACATTGTCTTGTCAGTCTTGTTCAGTTCTTCTGGTTCAGCAAGGATGGAGCCTTCAGGATCAACACCTATGATCTGGAGAAGTTTCCAGTTTGGCAACCATGACACTACTTTTGAGAACACAGCTATCTACTCACCACTGCTGCCCTTATGACAGCACATTGGTTGCATATACAGCCAAGCTAATGGCAATCTGGTCTCCTATTCAGTTCTCCCTGGCAATATTCACCTCCCTTGTGATCAAAATGCTTTGGTGCTCCTGGCCCTTAGCAACACATCCCACCTCCTCAGGTGGTGGACACTGCAAACGATGGGCACCATTTGTTCCACATGGTTTCTGTTTGCTTCAGAGTTGTCTCTATTCACATGCCAGGTGTCATTACAGTCAATAAATTTTGTGCCAAGTGCAGGCAGAAAGCTATATTCCCTTTGTTTTTTCCTCCCTGACTATGTAAGAAAATATTCATGATCGAAACAGATGCCAACTTCTATGAGGAAATATAAAACAGTACACAAGTACAAGTACAGATCTGTTTGCAGAGAAATCATACTTGTTAGAAACGCAACAGCTCCAGATGATTAGCCATGGCACAGTTAGAGAGAAGAAACACAAGGCTGCAGGACACCAGCAGAGAGAAGGATTTTTCTCAGAAACATGCCATGAAGGGATCTGAGGGCCAGTTCTCACCTGAAAAGCCAAACCTTTGACTCTGGTCACCAATTAGACCAGAGCACAATGGTTTCAGATGGATTCTAACACCCTTTCTTTGCTGCTCAGAACTGAGCTAAGGACATCTGAGAGTTTCCCTGAGAGACCCAGGGGAGGGCTTACAAGGAGGAGGAGATGCAGACAGGAATAGGAGTGACTCTAGTGGAGCAGTGTGAGGCTCTCACAGCTAAAGAGCTTTAAATTTGCCACCTACTTTGCATCCTGGGCACTTCTCCTTTAGCTTTCTGGAAATGCCAGTGATGGTCCCTCCAGTGCCAGCTGTAGCCACGAACATGTCTATCTTTCCTGTTTAAGGGCGAGAAATCAAAAGGCACTTGTGAAACCTCCCTGAGTGTGATGGATTAAAAACTCTATTTACACCTAACTATGAACCTTCTTCTCTAACAAAAATGCAGACAATGGCAGAAGAGGCACAAGATATGGGAATCCTCGCTTCCCAATAGCTATAGGAGACCTACTTTGAGGCCACTTTGCTCAATCCACACTTACTTCAGCAACAGTTTTGAAACATCCTTTTGGCAGCCTGACAAGGCACCAATTTGTGAGACTTTTGACAGAGATGAGAGGTGGCCAATAGAGTCGACATCTGCAGTTTTCCTGTTACTGCAGATAGATACTTAATCACCTTTTAACTTACAATAAACAGCCTATACTGAGGTTAGTTTAGTGAATAGGTGCCCATGGGATAGGTGTACACTGAATCATTAACCCAAGCATCTTCTCATTTACACATGAGAAACTATTGTTTTTGTCATGAGTACCCAACAGAGTCAGATTGGTATCTCAGAATTCATTTTTCTGTCACCTCCTCCAGTTTCCTTGAGGCATCGCATAGGACCGTGGACCAAATCCTTATCCGAACAGCTTTGTTAGTAAAAACGTATTTAGATTGTTACACAAAAGTAAACGCTTACAAGTCAACAGAACAACACTCCACCAAGCATATCCCAGTTCAGACCTGAGACTAGTGTAAGCTCACTAGTAGTGACTGAACAGTGCCTGGCCTACAAGGAACAAGAAACATGAACACGAGAGGAATGAAGCCCACAGCCAGAGTTCATCCGGACTCTCAGTCTGTGGGGTGGCAGTTTGTTAAAGTATGCTAATTTTAACTCACACTAGAAGAAAGTTTGCCATGGAGAGACATGCTAAATAAATCCTCTGCAGCACAGGCAGAGAGAGTTTTGGGGGGAGGGGAAGAACACTGCACATGGTCCTAATCTTCATTAAAAAAAAAAAAATAGCCAATTTTGTTATTCCAGTAGCCAAGGTGCCATCAAAAAAATAAGCCAACTGTATGGTTTTACAGAGCAGGTCAGCAGCATCCTCCACAATCTCCTTCTACTTCCTGTGGCAATACCTACATGCTACACTGCAGCATTGCACTGAATGCCTCCGGTAGCTCTCAAATGGATCTCCTCAGCTGGATGAGCTAGCCCAGCTAAAGCTTTCTGCTGTCACAGTTCAGTCACTTCTGGTACTCCAGCTAGCCAGCCTAGAGCTAATAGGGACAGGACCCCTGCAGAGTAAAGAGCCCTTGCTGGTATTAACTGCAACACAGCAGCTTGTGCTCCTGAGGACAATGGTAAGCGAAGATACTTCCAGTCTAACAGAGTATTTGGTCTTTACATAATATCTAACAGAATTAGATAACTCAGCAGACTCCAGACAGATATTAAGAGAAAGCAAAAATCTCTTCCCTGCCTCTATGTACAGTTTGGATTCTGAGCAGGTAAAATACTTACTTCTGTATTGTGAGCAGAAAAAAATTGCCCTGTTCTTTCATGCTGCTTTAGCTACAGCATTTTTGAGTTAAGAATAACTGCTTTGTTTACCTGGACAAAGCAGAGACACACAAAAGCAGTGTCACAAGATGTCACAAGCAGAGACATCTAAAAACCAAAACAGCCCTCTTTAATGGAAAAGATAGTTTGTTACTAAGACTACAGAAATAAGGCAACTCTCTAATTAAACACAGCATAAGGAACATGCAATATCAAAATCCATGCACTTCTCAAACACTCCAGGCCTCTTTCCTTAAAGACATGGAATAACAATACGGGAATACTAGGGACTCATTAAGAGAGGGCTAGAATAGCAAACATACCTTCACACTGCTGCAGGAGCTCTTCAGCCGTGGTGTCATAGTGCGTCAGGGGGTTGCTGGCATTACGATACTACATTGAAAGACACACCCATTAAGTAAATGAGAAGGACACTATATTTCACATCCTGAGGCATTGCAAAAACATGACAAACGTTCTCCATGCACCACAACAGCTGCATATTCTCCTTTCAGGTTGTTTCCTTATTTGTTATCTGGACCTAGGCAGAATGCTTCAGGGCAAGTGCAACAACCCGAAGTGACCTAATTTAAGGGTATTCCTAAGGTGCTAGCATCCTCCAACATCAAGATCAGTCCTGCCTGTGTGACAGTTTCTTTTCAAGGCATGTATGACCCTCGTGCCTATTTTTCTACGCAGGATTGCCAGTTCAGTGGAGAAAGCCTTAACCTTTTTGCAATTTCTGCAAACATTGCTGCCCTCTAGTGAATAAAAAGCTTGCTATCCTGCAGCATGTTGATAGCTCAATAGCTCACACTTCCAGATCTGGGACATCTTTGCCTCCACTGACTCACCTGGGCTGCTTAAAATTCAGCCAGCAGCATTAAGGCAAGAAGCTGCAATACCCCCTCCTACCCAGCTCTTACCTGGTCTAGGATATGCGCATTGGGGATTTCATTTTTCAGCCTCCATGCTACTCCCACATGAGATTCAGGAGAGTCATATCTGGCAGTAGTTGGGGTCCTCACAATCTCAGCACCCAGAGCTCTCAGGACATCCACCTGCAGCAAACAAAGTTGGACACAAAACTCCCTCTCAGCACAGATACCTCTCTGTGATAGGGGAGAGGACGTTTTGACATGTTTTCTTTTACCCATTCTGTAATAGCTTCTAGCAACTCTCTTATGCCCCTGCCTCACAGCATATCACTAAGCCATGGGTCCAAAATCTTCAAGTCATTTAGTCTCTTAACTCAAAATCTTGTTTCGAATCCGGGCCTCTGGGTTTCTAGGAGCAGTTATTCCATATTGAGGGGCCTTATTCAGGCAAAACACAGTCTCCTCTCACACTGGTCACATATCTTCTGCAGGGGATTCTGCACTCTGGAACAGTGCTATACTCTTGCATTTTATGTCTAAATACAAATTATGGATATTTATGTCCTCCTTTGGACATAGGCAGCAAAGAGGGAGAACCTCCAGGGCCCTATCCATCCACTCCGCCCTTCTGAGGACAAGAAATTTTGACACTCAGCTTTGCCAAGGCCTATGTTCAAAGGGGAGGCCTTTCGTGCTGGCGTGCGGAACGTGGCAGTAGCCATGTGGTACCTCTCCCTCCAGGGCGGAAAAGAACTAGCAACGGGTACAGGCTTTCAGGGGACATTGCTCATGGCTGTTCTCATTTGTGCCATTGCCATTCAGTTGGAATACGGCAAATGTTTGGTCTGAGAACTGTTCTGCTGACAGTGATTTGCTGCCCTAAACTGCAAAATACAGGGGATCTCCTCTCCACCATCCAGAAAGCACTCTTGATTTCAGGGACAATATCACCCTTAGAGGGGACTTAAACTGGGCTGATATATTGCAAGGCTTTTATGTTTTCCACAGCTAAGGTAAGCTGATGCGACCCAGGTGACTTTTCCTTTCTTGTTCTGGCTGTACACCTTGGATTCTTGCCAACATCTCTTAGGGTTTCACTGAAAAGTTGCTCAGCAGACTCCCTTACAGCCTTGCTCAGCCCAGAACAGCAGAACATTCAAAGCTTCAGCCCCTGCCTTCCTCCCCGCTCCTCCGTAGCGTAAGCAGCAGCTAGTAAGCCACTTCAGTCTGATATGTACATCTCAAGTTCCTCTGACATTTGTTTTTAAAGCAGTTACAACAGCTCCTGTAATTGACAGCACTGCAGGGACAGGGGTCTAAACACCACAGATCTGTCTGTGGTTAGCCAGCCTTGGTTTCCCTTGGCACTGCCGATAGCCCCTCGGCCAGAAAACATTCAGCAGAATTCTGCCTGACCAATGAGTTGGAGGCCAAGAGCAGTCTACACCTTCACTGCTAAAGCCACAACACTCATTTGCATCAGGAACTCTGCAAGCTAAAATATGTTTATTTGTTAATGTTTTTAAAACAAAAGCAGATCTGACCTTCTCCATACTCATTTTCTCTGGCATCACAATGATACAGCGGTAACCCTTCACTGCTGCAGCCAAGGCCAGCCCAATTCCTGGAAACAAGCAAAGACGTGCACAGCGTATAGCGAGAAGCAACCCAACCAAACTCTGCAAAGCTAGCTTTTGCATGCCCTTGCTTTAATGAGAGATCTTCGCTAGAGGCTTGGATGGGATGGCTTTAGACAGGTGGCGAAGTAAAAGCTTCTGGCTCCTGGAAAGAGCTGGCTTCACAAATGCTGCTGGTTCTTAGAGGATCAGAAGGAAAAGAGAGGTTAGCCAAGGATGGGAAGAAATCAACACGTGCAAACCACTGGCTTTACCACAGGCACATCACCTTCCTCCTGTCCCTTCCTCATCCTAAGGAAAAAAAGCAGTTTGGGGAATAGATTTTAAGCTAGGGGACTACAGCAATCATTTAGATACCTGGATAAGAGTATTGGGGCTTCTACTGACTCAATTCTGCTTTACGTCGCTAATTTGTGATGCACCTAAATCATTTCTAAAGGACATGATTTAGATGCTGCGTGTGACAGAGGTTCCAATGCACTGCGTCCGTTTGCTACAAGAGTCAATTACTTTTCCTGTTAGAGACACACATACCTCATCTGTGGTTTCCAAAACCTGTACCTCCAACCTGACTCCTGTCTTTCAGGATGTCAATGTCTGCCTAACTGAAGGGCTAATCTCAGCATTACCTTCCCTATGGAGCAAGGCTTACACCTATTATCAAATCACCACTCTGCTGGATAAGCTAAACATATCAAGTTAGCTGAGATACGTCTGATGTCGGGCTGAATGGCACTGCCCCTGCTATTTTGGGTACTAGACATAGTACAGACAGTGGTCCATGGCAATGCCTCACAGTTTATCCTATGCAGGAAGTTGTGTGTTCATCTCTGGCTTGGCTTCTACAGCACACAGGATGGTGTAGTTGCAGTAAAAACAAAAATTGTGTGATATACACCTGGGATGAAGGCAGCATTCTGAGACCCAAATTCTAACGCTGTACTTTCTGCCACTGACTTAAAGTGCAGCAAACACCAAAATAGGACTTCAGCTGAGAGAAAAATGGGATGCAGAGAAAGGACGCCTCGTACTTTAATGGCTCTGAGCAGTAGCCTGAAGCAAAGGCCCACTCCCTCAGGTTACTGTCTATCCTGCTCTCTGCTTTTAAATTAAGACAGCTTTCTGAAGTAATTACCTTGTATACCCTTCACTTCTTGCAACACATTCCAAAAGATAAAGAAAGCAGGAGAACTATTTATCAGGTACTGCCTCAAGAAGCTGGATGTCAGTGTGACCTCCTATTGGGAGAGTGCAATATATGTTGTAACGTGTAATACATCATATATAATACATATAATGCAGGTACATGTATCTATGTATTACACAGTGCATTTCTCCAGTAGGAGGTCACACTGTGACATCCAGCTTCTTGAGGCAGTACCTGATAAATAGTTCTCCTTGCCTATATATACACTCACATATATATGTATATATACACACTTAGTTATAAAGTGCATGTGTGAGATTATATGTAGATAGAGATAGGCACGCAATTCTCAGTCTTGCACTGGGATCTGAACTGCAGTTCCAGCACTGGGAGGCTAGATGCCAATCATGCAGCTCTATCCCCTTTCATCTTCCTTGTAAGATACGTTAGGTATCCAGGCAACTGAACTTTCCTCCCTCTGCAAACTTCACTCCTGCCAGTGCTGTAGAGCTGCATGTAGCAAGCTGTACTGAGACAGCAACAGCTCTTGCCAACAGGGCAGAGCCCAGTACACAATTGAGGCCAAGTAGTTATGTGCTGCAGAGGGGTATTTTGTTGTAGGCCAAACGCAGTGGCGAGCCCAGCACCGAACCAGCCCCTCAGAAGAGGGCTCAGCACTGCAGGAGATGCCATTGTTCAGGTAAGAGGAACATGCAAAAG